ATTCGTTTATTCGTTTATAAGTAGGTTTTAGAGACTACCAGTAGATCATATATATGAGGTGTGTTCATACTAAGGTGATAAGGAGACTGGTAGTTGAAATTTCCTATATTTATATCAATAAACCTTGTCTTTGCATTGAATTTTACACAGCCTTGCTTTCCCAAAAGGTATTCTCACCCAGAATGGGCGGCAATTTCGGCCTCGCCTAGGTCTAATCAGCACCCTCAGCGGGACTCGAACTATGGCAGTGCAGTATATTATCTCGATAGATTAACCACTAAGCCACATTGTCACGGGTGCCGTCGAGTCACAGGGCAGATACTAATTTCAGGGAAGGCCATGTACATTTCCATATCACATTCTGTAGTGAGATTGTCGGTGAAACAAAGTTGTATTTGCAATAAGAATAGATCATATTACTTATTTTTTCGTTTATAAATAGTTTTTGGAGACTACCAGGGGATCATATATATAAGATGTATTAGCTCTATTTCCTTTAAGAGTAACAAGGTTAAAAATTAAGTAATGTAGTGGATAGCTATATCAAATACAACGTTGCTTCACCGACAATCCCACTATAGAATGTGATATAGAAACATTCCTGGCCTATGAACCGATGACATTCTTAGCAATGTGGCTTGGTATTTAACCTGTCGAGATGGTTCTAGTCTCGCTGGGGGGGGTTCATGAGACCTATACAAGGCCTAAACTGCAGTCCACTCCGGATGAGAATAACTTTTGGGAAAGTAAGGCTGTGAAATTTAATGGAAATACAAGTTCTACTCATATCATTGTGGCAAATTCAACAGCCAGGCTGAATAGATCTCATATAATAGACCTTTGCACTAGTAAATCGCGCCATCTCTTAGATGTATGGAAATCAAAATTATTTTTCCCCTGGATACTAGAGGTGCTAGGAATATTACCTCCAGAAATCGTGATCCCTCTATTGAATCAAGAATCATCAAATAATTAATAAAAACATGTGCATCATTTGCACATAAAAACGTAAGTTTCATATTTTATATTTATTACTTTAAGTAGTATAATATAATCATTCTATTCCTTTTCAAATTTCTTCTTGAGCATGTCGGCCAAAAAAATTTATTTAGACTGCACAAATGTAAATTATTTATAAAAATATACTGGGGATGTGGTAAAGTTCTCAAATTTATAAAAACTACATTTAAGCTTTAACTTACTTTTGCATGTTGAAACTCCCTTAGGCTTCATATTAAATGTTCTGTCTGTGTGTTTGTGTGTTATGCGCAACGTTTTCTTCTTTCTTGCATTAAACGTATGTGTCTACTATTCACAAGTTTTATTTTCTCCCTACAATTTTGGATGTTATTATATTTTGATCTTAGATATGAAGACCAAGATGGTGGGGCCTTCTGTTTGATAGCAGTCTTCTTTTGCTACTTATTTTTGCTAAATTCATGCAATAATATTTATGGGCCTTTTTATCATTTTCTCGTTTTGGAATTTTTAAATTTTTCTATCTTAAATTTTTATCGAATACCAAGATGGTGTGGACCCTTTTTTGTTTACGGTAACCTTTAGTTGTACAGAAAGGGTTTGAACTCATTTTTTATACTTTTCGTGTTTTCTTAGAGGGATAAATTAACGCGTTTTGTCTAGAATTGTCTGCCGTACTAATCATAATAATGTACCAAATCGATGATGTACCTCGATGATGATAATTATTCTGACTAGTATGGCAGAGAATTCTGGAAAAGATGTGTCTATCTGGGTCTCCCTAACAACATGACCAATTTGCAGAACCGATCTCAAACCACTTTATTTTTCGGCGATTGCTTATTACTTTTTTATACTTTTATATATCATTGATAGTTTACTTATTTTAGGTTAATGATTCTTATCTGGCAAACTTTTATTAGCTTCTCGATTTTCCAATAAAATTATCCTCGAATTTTTCTCATTACTATTTTTGGTTATTATGAATTTTCAATTTTATTTCGTGTATTACATCATATATCATCTCTCATCATATGTATGATTACTTGTAAATTCCTCGGTCAGTCTCTTACACCTGGAGAGGTAGATCAGTCTCATGAAGTTCAATCTAGACTGCGCAGTTCGCGAATAATTGCCTCATCCGCTTCTGGGGCCTGCAGTCTAAAGCTTCGACCAAGAATTGGAGTCTCCGCATCTGCAAACGTAGTTGCCGGGGTTGGAATTTCTGGAAGGGCCGATTGTAGCACGGCCAGCGAACCCGGCAGTGGTTCATCTACTGGCTGCTGGCGCCGTCCTGCTGGCAGTGCGGAGCAGCCACGCGAAGTAATGCTGCTGCAACTCGCAAGCTTATTTTTTACACATTGCCATTCAAGGCTGATGGAGTTCGGTGAAAGACAGCGTGCGAATGAGCTATTAGATGCCAAATCTCACACAGTAAGTATAAATGTTCACATAAGGAAAGCAAAATTTCCCCATGATACTTTCAATTAAATATATAATTTCGCTTAACATTGAGTCGCTATATTTTTAAAAGTAATGAGGTAGATTACATACATTGTGCATACCGAGATTCTCATCCACTTAATACTATCCTTCTATTTAGTAATATTTTCATAATTTTAGATAGTAACGGGAGATTGATACTTAATAGCTGGCCGGATAAAATATATCAATGCCTATCAATCCCAGATCAGATAATTCAAAGTTCCATGTCAAACAAATATTTGGCTTATATTTTCAGCTGACTGCAACCTCCATGCTAGGAAGGGATGGGATGCTTGAGCGGGCCAACTAGTCTAAGTTGGGTCGACTTTCTCAGTTCAAACTCTTTTTTCCTATCTAGCGACAATTTCAGCATGTACTCTCCTGCACATAATTCAAGATGCATATGCATGCATATATATATATATATATATATAAACTGGTGTACCCAGTTTGACTCTTTTAAAAGCTTTTTTGGTCATAACGTTGAAAAAATAGGTTATTTATAGGTAGTTACTTGTTTTTTATTTCACCATTTGAATAACAAAACAGTTAAAATTAGTTGCAGGATTATTGGTCTGAATTTGGAGACGAATTTTTTTAGATATGAAATTTTGGTGAATTAACTTGAATATAATCATATAAATACACATTTTTATGCTGCAAAATTCTATAGACTTTGCATCATATGATTGACTTCTCCCTTTCATAGAAATAAAGTTCCTAGATCTTCTGTTTACTGTACTTCAAACGTTTATATTAGCATATGCATATGGACTATGTGGGATCTGATTAGCAGAAATAGATGCACAACCCTATATGAAATTTTAAAATGCACTATGTTTATTAGAGTAGGACAATTTTTTTTATTTTTACCATTGCCAAATAGCCATGGGGTTTTATAAAACCTGTTTTGCCTAAACATGATTTA